TTGTCATCTCTTCATGAAGGGTCACTTGAAATTGCGCTCACAGACCCTTTAAATGGTATCTCATGTAATGTATACAAAGCTAGAGCTAGACATGGGCAGCCCGTTCTATCCATTCTTTTAAACCTTTAAGATTTTATACGGTTTTGAGGGGACTCACAAATAGCTATACTGCAGTCGTTGTCAATATATATATCAATATATCAATACAATATATCCTAGCTTTGAGTTTTATCTGGCTTTCACACAGATAAGATATCCATAAAATGGAAACATAGAGAAGTTGGCAATTAACTGATTCTTATAATGTTTACTTATAAGCGCTTGTAATTAAAAGCTTCTTAGAAATAAAAAAATGAATAGAAAATTCGTCTTCATTGTTATAGTGATATTAACGCAAACCGCTGTACAGTGTACAATTTCTGAAAAATTGCTTGATCTTATAATTCCCCACAATGTCGGTTTTGTCAAATTATACAATATTTAGAAGATTTAAGCTTAAGAAAAAAATGTAATTTAACGATGAACAGCTGATTCCGTTCTTTTACTTTCATTAAGGCCTATATTTTCAGACAGAGTTAAAATTTCGCATACTGTAAAAACTAATTAGCAAACCTGTAGAAAATAAATCAAGCACTTTAAGTATAGAAATCTTTCATATCTCACTCTATTCCAACTATGCTGTAGCGACATTACAAACTTAACGAATTAATGTATCACAGAAGTATATTTTAATCTAGTGAGTAATTAATGTATCTCAGAAGTATATTTTAATCTAGTGAGTAATTAATGTATCACAGAAGTATATTTTAATCTAGTGAGTAGTTAATTAAAATTCTGAACAACTAGCAGATGTATTGTCTCTTTATCAACTAATTTGAACAGAAGGAATGTTTCCCCCTGTTCATAAACTACTTTAAAAAGGAGAAATTGTCCTTCCTGTTCACTAACTAGTTTGAACAGGCGCCATATTCACTCCTGTTTCTGGTGCACCCTGAGGTAAGTTAAACATGGCTTCAGCTTCAGCAAACTGTTCCTAAAATACCACAAACCAATTGAACAACTCTTTAAATCTCCCGACATTTTCCTCCTCACATTTTAAAAGCACAACATTTTGGAAATTCCTAACTAAGAGTAAATTTTATATTTGTAAAACTATGTTCTCACGTACATGAACGCCGCAATTATAGATTTCAAGATAAGACGATTAGAAAACATGTAATTTACTTAATATATAAAAAGTTTCCATGTTTAACGGGACCCCATACGACAAAACATCTGACTAAAAGAAAAATGTTTGCGGCAGGTTCAGGGTTAACCGCAAACAATTAGACATCAGAGTCAATTTTACCGAATTTATGTTGTCTGTTTCCTTATATTCATGATTTTCCTGTAATTGTTAACTTCATTCTTTCTTAGGCAAATTATTTGATAAGCTTTAAATGATTACATCAAAGGCAGACATCTAATTTAAGCTTGAGATCGTCGTATTTAAAAATCTTAAGGTCGTCTTTCCAGTCTCAACCTTTCGTGGATCAAGATTAATTAATTTTTGGTTGGTTAGATTTAATTTGGATTGGTTTGGTTTGGTGTATCCCTGGGTCATATCTGGATGTAAGAGGTCCACGACAAGGATGAGTCGAGGCTGACTGCTGAGGTTCCAAATCTCATGTTCAAAACTATCATCGAAGACGACAATTTTCCCCTCCTCCCACACAACCTCCTCGACTCCAGCTACAACCATCCGAGCAGAGTTCCTGGACAACAAAACTTCTTGCTATAATCAGTTAAAAGGACTGTCTTTGTAATTTCAACTGACCGTCTCTATAAATACTTGGTAATGCCCAAGGTTGTATAATAAGGTTGGTAACTATCGATGAGCTCCAATGTACGGAAAATGTCGTCTTCTTTGATAGATAGATGAAAACCTAATATGACGTCACTGATTATAGAGGCGTGAGGTTTTTATCTATCTATCTTAGGAAACAACATTTTCCGTACATTTGCCCGCATAGAGAGTAACCAATCTTATTACACAACCTTGTTTATACCCTGCACTCACTATAAAGTTGTTAACCATTAATTTAAGACCTCTATAAAATGTCGTCTTCAACTTGAATCTCCTGTCGGAGACAGCCAAACCAAATTTTCAGCCCGCAATTCCCTTTCATCATCCATCCCAGTGACATGAGCAGCCAGGATGACCAGCACAACTAGCCCAGGGAAAACCAGCTAGTTTGAGAAAAGGAAACCTAATCTCAATCCTATCTCTCTAGACAGCAAGCACAACTAGTTGACACATTGTTGGATCTGGAGAACTGTAGGAACACGCTTAGAACTCTTATTGAGGAAAAATCCCAGCTCTCTGTTACTCCAAGTACATCTACTGGGTCCAGTACTCCAAGTACATGTACTGGGTCCAGTACTCAGAGTACAAAGCCTATTAAACCAAGTACAAAGAGGGATCTGTCTAATGACAATGAAAATGACAATTATTGTTCAAAAAGAGACATATTTCTTCAGCGCCATGTGTCAACTCTGCTGAAGCATTTAGTGTTTGATGGAGTGTCTGGTGCTCATATACATGCTGAGATTAAACTATCCACTACTCAGATTGCTACTCTTAGAACTTTTAGGAACAAATTGGTTTNGCTCATGGATAATTGGCAGAGTTTCAAAGATCTAAGTGAGAAAATAAAAGAACCTGTTCTTATTCTCTGCACTGCATTCTCCCTGGCATTTTCTATCCTATTCATCTTTAGATATTTTACTATTTGGAAGATTTTCCTAGTACTGATGATTGTAAGTGTCTGCTGGCACTGGCAGCATTTGCACAAGGAAGCATTGTCTGCTAAACAAGCAAAACTCATGCAGCATCGGAATATACCACCAGAGTGCAGTCCAAATTCCATGCCATAGACATCCTTTTTTAAATCCTTTGTTGTTACTGAAGACAAGTGCAAGGAATATCACAAGGCTTTGTTAGTGGATCTGTTCTATGAGGTGAGTCCGTTGATGGCATTCACTGACCTCCTGCTTAACCTCTGCTTTAAACCTCTCCGGGTGTTTGGGAAAGAATTCTCGAAAATGGTGAACGAAGTAAACTCCCGAGTTCCTGTTCTATTGTCGGCGCCTGTTCTTGTAGCATTATTATTACTGATTGCGTTCATTCTCATTCTTATCTCGGGATACAAGATACGTCTGCCATGGTTCCTAGGTGAAATAAGTCCTGGTCGATCTATAAACTGTTCCCTTGAGACAGATATAAAAGGAGAGGAAGTTGAGTAGGTCTTCTCCAATTCAAAGATCTGACACCACTGATTTGCGGATTTCATAATCCTCTTTCGGGGATTTCATCCTCTACAGAAAAGTTTGAAGATGAACGGAAAAAGTTATAAATTCTCTTCCTCCGAAAATAAAAGTTTAATTAATGGGACTGTCCACAAAATTTAAAAGATCCTTCATTTAAAGATTTAAATACTAAATTCTCAAGAAAGGTATAATTACCCTTTAACCCTTTTTTCTGAGCAAAATCAGTTGCATAATCGATAATTTCAATCGCATTTTTCCTAAAAAAGGGATTTTCAAATTACATACAAAAAATTTACCAAATTATTATTTTCTTAAGATGGGAAAATCATGATATCTCCCTCATTGATACTCATTTAAAGATTTAAAGGGTAAACTTGGAACCAGGCTTGTTAATTAAAATAAAGGGTTTCAATAATTACGTAGACAATGCCTTTAAGAGATAGTTTGGAGCCAAACAGAAACTGCTAGGACAGCAACATGGCGTATTTTGAGGGAGAATATTTTTTTATATTTTAGAGAAATTTTTTTTTGTAAAACATTGTTCTGCTAATTTTACCTTGGTTCTGTGGCGTTTAAGCTTGGAACTAACAGTGGCAGGTGTGCTCTTTATTTACAAATATATTATTATTTATTCTATTTTAGAATAAAAAAGTGTTCTTCTTATAATACAATTTCTTGTTTCATGCATGGACATGGACATATCTGTTGCCAGATCAAGTTCCCCATCTTGAAGAGGGCTTTTTTTGTTAACAATTTTGGTTTTTAAATGTTACTTCCAAAGCCGTAATTTGTCTTCGCACAATGAAAAAATAAACAATATGCGGAATTTTCTGTTGGCAAAAATAATTTTAAACATCAACAGTTTTTCTAAAAACTAAATGTTTCAATTTCGACTGGCCGTAAAAAGAAGGGAGGCGGGCTAAGACCCTTCAACGTAGTACATTTTAAATAAAAGTGTTTTACTTTTCCTAGGCTTTTAGGATACGCGCTTCGCGCCTATCTTCTATTTTGATTGTGAACATTTTCTCTTTGTATACATTCATTACATTGTAAAACAAAAACACAAAAAAGTTTTGAATTTTATAAAAGTTTCATGGATTTTCAACATTTAATGAAAATTTTGATCATCTATAACCTTTCCCGGGAACATGTGAAGTCCCACACAAAATTTGGGCCCGATCGGTTCAGTCGTTTTGACGTTTATTGGATACAGACAAACAAACAAACAGACAAGCAAAGTATATATATTCAATTTATCAAAATCCACGGGAATAAAATCAATAAAGAGCAACATTTAAAAGTTTAAATTGAAGATGTGCGGGAAGCGCCCTGGAAGCATGCCAAAATAAGGTTGAATGTAAATGATTATGATCCCTAAGTTTAAGATTATGGCCCCCAGCATGAGGTTGAATATATAATATATTTGATCCCTAAGTTTAAGATTATGGCCCCCAACATGAGGTTGAATATATAATATATATGATCCCTAAGTTTAAGATTATGGCCCCCAACATGAGGTTGAATATATGCTCCAGGTTCTAGTAAAGTTAGTTTAATACTCCCTAAAGGACATCTTGTTGCAAACATATAATCCTAAAACAAAAATTTCTTTTAAAATTAAGTTCCTTATTAGTCTAATGTCATGATAATTAAACTTTGCTTCTTTTGAAATAGGAAAATTTTCAATTCTGCATTAAACTAAAACCTACCCTGAGAAGTGAACAATCCCTTAAATCCTACCTGGAGAAGTGAACAGTCCCTTAAACCCTACCCTGAGAAGTGAACAGTCCAATGAAACCTACCTTTAGAAGTGAACAGTGCAATGAAACCTACCCTGAGAAGTAAACAGTCCAATGAAACCTACCCTAAGAAGTGAACAGTCCAATGAAACCTACCCTGAGAAGTGAACAGTCCAATGAAACCTACCCTGAGAAGTAAACAGTCCAATGAAACCTACCCTTAGAAGTGAACAGTCTCTTAAAACCTCCCCAGAGAATTGGACAGCCTCTTGAAACCTACCCTGAGAAGTGGATAGTCCCTTGAAACCTACCCTGAGAAGTGAACAGTCTCCTAAAACCTACCCTGAGAAGTGGACAGTCCCTTGAAACCTACCCTGAGAAGTGAACAGTCTCCTAAAACCTACCCTGAGAAGTGAACAGTATCCTAAAACCTACCCTGAGAAGTGAACAGTACTGTACATCAAA